GCCTTTGTTGCCACTGAAGATGTTTGTGTGTGTGTGTATGTGTGTGTGTATATGCGTCTGTGTGTGTGTTTCCTGGTGTGTGCTTAAAGTACGCCCAGGAAAAGCAGAAGTCCCTCTTTTCATCGATTAAAATTAATCCCCAAGGTTGGGGTAGGGGACAGGGATGAATAGGCAGAGCACAGAGAAATTTTAGGCAGTTAAAATACTTACATTATACAATAATGGTGAATACATGTCATTATATATTTGTCCAAACCCATAGAATGTACAATACCAAGAGTGAACCCTAAGGTAAACAATAGACTCTGGGTGCTGTGTGATGATGGTGTGTCAATGTCAGTTCATTATTTGTAACAAATGTACCCTTCTGGTGGAGGATGTTGTTGATGGGGAAGGCTGTGCATGTGTGGAGGCAGGAAGAATACGGGAACTCCCTGGGCTTTCCCTACAATCTTGCTGTAAACCTTAAACTCCTCTATAAAAATCGTCTTTAAAAACCAAAAAATACAAACCACTTCCCAGCTATGGGCAAAATTAACTTCATATACCAAAGCTGTGGCAGATAGATAAATTCCTCTTGAAAATCTCATATTAGATAGAATATCCTCTAAGGGGAAGGAGAAAAGGGTGAAGAAGACAAATGATTTTATGAAGTTTCCCTTCTAACAGGTGAGTGGAACTCAAAAACATTCAGTTCATAAACTGAGTTGTTAGGTTTGTCATCGTTTAATAGAATAAACCTATAAATATCTATTTTAATACCTGCCCCACTTTTGTTCCTATTGATTACCATCCTTTACCAATCTCTTGCCCTTTCCTCATGTACATACCCAAGGCGACATGATAGAATAGTCATGCTGATACATGATCTGATCAAAATGCACATTTGATTTGCATCATAAAATGTGAATGAAAATGAAAAAGACAGCTGGATTTATTGGTGCAGATTTCTGATTTTGCAGCCAGATGACATCCATCATTACTCATGATGTATAACCTATATTTTCCAACCCGACAGTACCAGGCTGATTAAATATGCATTCAAAGCATATTTGCAAAGCTGAGAAAAATTTAAACACATTATCTCAATCCTGTTCACTGAAAAAGTGAATATTCTTGCAATTATTAAGAAATGTGTCTGTGTCAAGGACTTGAACTTGTGATTGCCGAAAGATAGCCATATTTGATCTTTTATTAAAGACAAAACTAAATTATCTCTCTAGGGTGAGATTTTACAATTGAAAATTATTTGTTCTGATTTTTCGCAATTACATTTGAATAAAAACTTCAAGATTGAAGTACACATGTAAAGTAGCTGCCCATTGCCGATTGCTGAGGCAACCATATTTAACTTATACATGTTTAGTCTCATATTTACGCTTAAGATGCTCATATGGTTATTTTGTTATTTAGCAGTAGATATTATTTGTTGTACACTTACTATGGAATATAAGGATTGACCTGTTGCATTCCACCATCCCATATATTTCACTGACTCACCAACTCCTAATACAATGATATAATAATGATTATATCAGTGTTATGTGTCAATGCAAAACGTAAGCCAAGCTCATAAGTCCACATTAAGCCAAAATGGAGTAAAAAAAAATCCCACAAACATTGGGACCTTGAATGGGGTTGGCTTACATCTACAGAAAAGTAGGAGAGAATTGATATCTTCGCAGTATTATGTCCAGTGATCCATGACATAACATAGAGTTCCATTATTTAAAAAATAATGTTATGTTTGTTGATATTCAGTCAAACCAGGTGACTTTTGTGCTGGTACAAAAATAAAATGTAACCAAGTAAATTTTAAAATCTAATTCACTTTGTTAAGCCATTTATGAATCAGGCAGCATTCCATCCAGCAAGTAGAAAGAAGCTCTAAGGTTCTGTACAAGATGGAAGGATTTTTATTATAGGCAGATATGGGGAGGGACAACTAGAGAAGAAGGAAAGAAAGAAAGAAAGAAGAAAGAAAGAAAGAAAGAAAGAAAGAAAGAAAGAAAGAAAGAAAGAAGAAGGAAAGAAAGGAGGAAGAAAGAAAGAAAGAAAGAAAGAAAGAAAGAAAGAAAGAAGAAAGAAGGAAAGAAAGGAGGAAGGAAGGAAGGAAGGAAGGAAGGAAGGAAGGAAGGAAGGAAGAAGGAAAGAAGGGAGGAAGGAGGAAGGGAGGAAGGCAGGAAGATTACCTCCTTAGTTGTGACCAGAAAATTCCTCACTACATTTCTGGGAGAGGTTGCAAGTGAAATTGGATTAGGTTTTAGGCCCTCGTTTGGTGAAGGCCTAGCAAATGTGACTACATTTGGGGCTTGTGGTTTTCTTGCTAACGAGGTATTGCTTTGTGTCTATACTGTTCCATGCTGAACTCCCTTAGTAACTCACCTGCTAATATCTCATGTGATAATGTCTATAGATTCCCAAGGATTTCCTACGTTCAAAATTATGTTGGGGCCTGAGTGGTTCGGTGGGCTAAGCATCTGACTTCAGCTCACATCATGAGTTTACGTCCACTGTCAGCTCAGAAGCTGTCCTTCCCTCTCTCTCTGCCCCTCTCCCACTTGTGCATACACTCTCTCTCTCTCTCAAAATGTAAGTAAAGAGATTATCTTCTCTCTGAACAATAAAACTTTCATTTCTTCTTTCAATTCTCATGCATTTTATTAGCTCTTTTCTTGCCTTACTGTGAGAAGACCTGAAGAAAGATTGAGGAACCCTGAAGATAGTGGATACTTTTGTCTCATTTCTGATCTCAGAGAGAAATGTCTCAATAAATCGAAGTTAACTATCATGTTTCTAAAAAAATATATATCTTCTTTATAATATGAAGATACTCTTTTGTATACTCAGGTTTTTGAGTTTCTATCAACTGTATTTTGTAATGCTTCTTTGCATCTATAGAAATGATTATCTAATTTTCTTCATTTTTAAGCTTTTTTCCTACTTTCAATGTGATGAAATATAGTACTTTTTTCTGCGTGTGACTTTATCTTGTCTATTGCTCAGAGTGAGCAAACTTTACTGTTCTGTCATCAAGTTACTGATTCTTATGTCATCGTCACTGTATTACTGAGTCAATTTTGTTATTATTTTTTTAATGTTTATTTATTTTTGAGAGGGAGAGAGTGTGTGTGTGAGAGACAGAGAGCGTGAGAAGGAGAGGGGCAGAGAGAGAGGGAGGCAGAGTATTCCAAGCAGGCCCTGCACTGTCAGTACAGGGCCTGACACGGAGCTCGGTCTCAAGAACTGTGAGATCAAGACCTGAGCCAAAGTCGGCCACTTAACTGACTGAGCCACCTAGAACCTCAGGAAGGTTCTTTCTTTTTTTAATTTATGTTAGCACATTTTTTAGTTCTACAATTTTCCTTTTATTTTCATAATTTGTATTTCTTTGCTGAGAGTTTGTAATTTTTCATTTGATTCAAGAGAATTTGTCATTTCTTGTTGACATATTTTTATTAAGGTGGCTTTAAAGTCCTTGTCAGATAATTCCAGGATGTAATTCATCTAGTTGGAGTTAGCTGTCTTTACTCATTTAAATTGTGATTTTCCTGGGTCTTCGAGGGACATGCTATTTTATTATATCCTGGCCACTTTGCTTGTTATGTTGAGACTGTGGCTCTTACATAAGATTTTTTTTTTCTTTTTAGCAGGAATTCACTCTACCACAAAGGTCCTAGCCTAGTTTTGTAGGCTGTGGTTCCATTGACAATATACTTCTTAGAGTCTGTCTGGCTTCTTGGGTCTGATTGATTTCTCACTGTTCCCTGCTGATGCTATTTGAGGAAGTGGAAGGAGCTCTCTCAGCCTGGGCCCCCCTGGTGCCACTAAGTGGACAAAGGGATGCTTTATCCAGCAGTGGGTTGAAGTTCCTCCGCTGGATGGTTGGTGTCCTCTTTGCGGTTGCTACCGTCCTGGGATCCCTACTGAGTTCTTTTTTCCTTGATCTTTCAGAGGTCACCTTGCATTTCAGTTGTCTCTTGCAAGTTTTTGAGTGTTTATACTCCCTGAGTGGGGAGCAAAGGGAGCTGAACCCATACCCTCATTTCCGGACCAGAAGTCATTCTAAATCATTTTGATAGCCAATTCTCTCATGACTGGAGGTTGAGCGTTTTTTCTGGATGTTTAATAACAAGCTGTGTTCCCAGGTTCATTAGCCATCTCTTCACTAATTGTCTGCAATTCCCCTCTCAGTCAATGTGAGCTTTTTAAATTAAGATATATTTATATGTTTTCTAGGTACCTCTGCTGTAAATAACTCCTCAGCTTCTTGTACTTCTTTAGCTATTTCTCACATGTATCTTGATATAATTTTTTAAGACATTGACATTACTGTAAGTGATAGAAGTAAACCCATTAGTTTACAATGTGAAACATGTTGAGAGTTGAGGATAACAGTCTTCACCATTATTCCAAGTTTGCAGGGAAAGGAAGCATAAAATATGCAGTGATATGACTGGAAAGGAATACCTATGTGTTTCTTGTGTGTTTTTGTTTGCTTGTTTGTTTTGTTGTTGTTGTTTTTGCAAAAGTGCTTGAGTGAATCGGGGCAATTTTATTTCATTTGAATTAGCTCTTTCATCAACATCTTCAGGGTCATTTATTTTTATATGTCCAAGGGGGTGCGTAATAGAGATTCAATAAATATTTATTAAATTAATGGCATAGAGGCTCGAGCACCGTACCTTCCTATAGAAGTCATAATCTCTCATATTGCCTAATAGAGACCGTACACGTAAGAGATATCTATGAATATGAACAGAAGATGATGACATTGTGAGCGAACAGGGGACCACCAAACGGTGGGAAGAGAAAGGAGGTGATGGCTGTATTCCTACAATGTTATGTAATTCATTCCCTATTTTAATAAAATGTTTCTCACCTCTAGGGCAAAAAAGAGAGGCGAAAAGACACCCAATCATTTCAAGGTCTTTGCTATCGCATAAGATATTTCGTGAACATACTGACGATGGTATCATTTTCACTCCTTTTTGTTTCAGGTTCAGGTTCTTCGGAACGCTGGAGAAGAAGTGAACCTGACAGTGTCATTTTTAAAAAGAGCGCCCGCTTTCCTCAAACTCCCACTGAACGAAGACTGCGCATGTAAGCATTTATGAAGAATAGGTAAAATGCTCGCATCATCATATTTATTTTTGAAACCGTTATTTCCTGACAGTAATTGATAATTTCGTTTTAAAGTTGGCATTTCTGCCTGAATACAAATATTTTTTTTATATCACACAGCATTTTATGAATGCTTATGCAAAGGGGACAGATGCTAGTTTATTTTTTTTAACTTGTTTTATTTTTTATCTTGTAATTTACATCCAAGTTAGTTAGCATATAGTGCAACAGTGATTTCAGGAGTAGATTCCTTGATGCCCCTTGCCCATTTAACCCATCCCACCTCCCACAATCGCTCCCTGTAACCCTCCGTTTATTCTCCATATTTGTGAGTCTCTTCTGTTTTGTCCCCCTCCCTGTTTTTGTATTATTTTTGCTCCCCTTCCCTTAGGTTCATCTGTTTTGTCTCTTAAAGTCCTCATATGAGTGAAGTCATATGATTGTTGTCTTTCTCTGACTAATTTCACTTAGGATCATACCCTCCAGTTCCATCCACGTAGTTGCAAATGGCAAGATTTCATTCTTTTTGATTGCCGAGTAATACTCCTTTGTATATATACACCACATCTTCTTTATCCATTCATCCATCGATGGACATTTGGGCTCTTTCCATGCTTTGGCTATTGTTGATAGTGCTGCTATAAACATGGGGGTGCACATGTCCCTTCAAAACAGCACGCCTGTATCCCGTGGACAAATGCCTAGTAGTGCAATTGCTGGGTCTAGGGTAGTTCTATTTTTAGTTTTTTGAGGAACCTCCATACTGCTTTCCAGAGTGGCTGCACCAGCTTGCATTCCCACAGATGTTAGTTCTGTTTCAGAATGTATTCAGCACATTTACAGTTATTTTCTAGCCTATAACTGGAGACACATTATTTATTTTAAAAATAAATATTTTAATAGTATCCTATTATGTACATTGTATATCTCTATTACATTTCATTCATAATATCTGATGAATATACTTTCTCTAACTAGAAAATGATATAATCCTATGTGGCTCCTGGACTTCTAAACAAGCATTTACACTTGTCATGGAAGGAAGCACCAGTCTAGGTAGTAATGGAATAATTGTCATAAGAGTTAACTTCAAAATGTCTGTATCAATTTGTACATTAAGAAATAAAACATTATCAAACATTTTTGCTAAAAATCAAAGAAGAATATATCTTTTAACTGAGGCATAATTTGCATGCAATGAAATACAAAGATCTTAAATGCACAATTGGATTGCTTAATCTACATGCCTTTAAATCACAGAAGGGTTCCTCCATGGCCCTTCCCAATAAATAACACCCCAAGAAACAACCATTAATTTAATTTCTTATCATTATATATTCCTTTTCTTTCTTGTAGAACTTTTTTAGAACACAAGCATACTGTATTTACTCTTTTATGTCTAATTTCTTTCACTATGAAAAATCACGTGTGTTTTAAATTTCAGTCATTTGTTCATTCACATTGCTGTGAATATTCCATTAGATAAATAGAATAAAGTTTGCTAATCATTCTCTGATTGATAGATAAGGGACCTTGTTTCCTGTACTTTGCCATTATAACTAAAGCTACTATGAACATTCTTGTATGGGGCTTTGGAAATCTTCCAATTTTATGTTCACTACCATAAGTACTTAGGAGTGGGGTTGCTCAGTCACCAGGTAGATGTATAATTAACTTGTTAACTGCCAAAAAGCATTTCTACAGAGAATGTTTATTTAAAAACCTCTTTATCTCCACTCCAGCTGTGTTTATGAGAGTTCTGACTGCTCTACATTTAATTCAATATTTTATGGTCAAAGATTTTTTTTTAGCTATTCTATCGAGTGTAGAGTGGTGTCTTATTATACTAGTACTTTGCATATCCCTGAAGACTAATTATGATTAGCTCCTTATCATGTACCATTTGCATATATTACTGGAGATCTGCATATCTTAGTTTGTAATGCGTGTGCTCAAATTTTGCCCATCTCTCTATTGGTATATCTTTATATTATTGTAGTGCAGGAGTTTAAGAAAATATTCTGTACATAATCTTTGTCAGCTCATGTATTACAACACTTTTCTCTCAGTCTATGGATAACTATGTTTTCCCTAAAGGTGTCTTAGATTTGCAGAAGTTTTCCATTTTGACAAACTCCAATTTAACATTTTGTGGCTGCTCTTACTGCATATGGTTATTGTTTTCTGTATCTTCTCTAAGAAATACTTGCTTACCCCAAGGTTGCAAAGAGACTCCCCGACATTTTCCTGGAGCTTTATGACACTGGCCTTTACGTTGAGGTTTAGAGTCCATCTTATACCAATTACTATCTTGTGTCTGAGCTAGGAATTTAGAATCAAGAAATTACTTTCTTATTTCCATTAATTTTTGTGTTCATCCTTCCACCTTAGCTGCCGTGTTAATCCCCTAGGACAGGTTCTCCAATTTTGCAATTGTTCATGATTATTTAGCTATTCTATACCTTTTGCATTGCTGCATATATTTTAGAAATAGCATGTCAATTTCTATCAAATCCAGTTACAATTCTCCATGGGATGAAGCCGGATTTATAGATAATTTGTAGAATTAACATATTAACAATTTGAAATCTGTAAGCCCATGAACATGATATAACTTTCTATTTATTTATGTTTTCATTTTTCTCAGCAACATTTTATTATTTTCAGTGGGAAAGTCTTACATATCTTTCATTAAACTGATTTCTAAGCATTTCTTATTCTACCATAAATGGCATTTAAAAAAATTTTAGTGCCCATATATTGTTGCTAACACATAGATATACATTTATATATTCTGCATCACAGGCTTAATTTTCTTATTAGTTCAGGTAGGACTTTCTGTCTTTTATAGGCGCTCACCTTATACAGTTATGTTATCTGCAAATATTGAATTCTCCTTCTTTCTTTACAATCTGTATTTTTAAAATTTCTTTTTCTTGCCTATTTCAATGGCCAGGACTTCCAGTAAAATGTTGGGCAAAGTCTTGAGGGCAGATATCTCTCTTTTGCTCAAGATATTAGGAGAAATTTCCAGTCTTTTACTGTTAAGCATGACATTCATATATGTGCTCACTTATACCTTTTATTTAGGTTGAAGAAGTGCTCTTTTATTCCTAGGTTACTGAGGATTTTTCTTTTCCTTTTTAACATGAGTTGATGTTGAATTATCACAAATATTTTTTATACCCATTGAAAGATTATATTTTTAATCTTTTTTTTTATTCTGCTGATATGGTGTATTTTTATTTTTTATTATATTTTTATGAATATAATCTATTGTCAAATAGGTTTCCATACCACACTAGTGCTCATCCCAACAGGTGCCCTTCTCAATGCCCATCACCCACTTTCCCCTCATCCGGCCCCCCATCCACCCTCAGTTTGTTCTCTGCATTTAAGACTCTCTTATGGTTTGCCTTCCTCCCTCTCTTTTTTCCCTTCCCCTCCCCCATGGTCTTCTGTTGAGTTTCTCAAGATCCACATATGAGTGAAAACATATGGTATCTGTCTTTCTCTGACTGACTTATTTCACTAAGCATAATATTCCAGTTCCACCCACATTGCTGCAAATGGCAAGATTTCATTTTTTCTCATTGCCAAGTAGTATTCCATTGAATATATAAACCACATCTTCTTTATCCATTTGTCAGTTGATGGGCATTTAGGCTCTATCCATAATTTGGCTGTTGTTGAAAATGCTCCTATAAACATTGGGTTACAAGTGCCCTATGAATCAGCACTCCTGTAACCTTAGGATGAATTCCTAGTAGTGCTATTGCTGGGTCACAGGGTAGTTCTATTTTTAACTTTTTGAGGAACCTCCACACTGTTTTCCAGAGTGGCTGCACCAGTTTGCCTTTCCACCAAGAGTATAAGAATGTCCCCCTTTCTCCACATCCTTGCCAGCATCTGTAGTTTCCTGATTTGTTAATTTTAGCGTGAGGTGATATCTCAGTGTGGCTTTGATTTGTATTTCCCTGATGAAGAGTTACACTGAGTGTCTTTTCATGTGTGTGTTGACCATCTGGATGTCTTCTTTGGAAAAGTGTCTATTCATGTCTTCTGCCCATTTCTTCACTGGATTATTCATTTTTCAGGTGTGGAATTTGGTGAGTTCTTTATAGATTTTGGATACTAACCCTCTATCTGATATGTCATTTGCAAATACCTTCTCCCATTCGGTCAGTTGCCTTTTAGTTTTGTTGATTGTTTCCTTTGCAGTGCAGAAGCTTTTTATCTTGATAAGATCCCAGTAGTTCATTTTTGCTTTTAATTTCCCTGCCTTTGGAGATGTGTTGAGTAAGAAATTGCTGTGGCTGAGGTCAAAGAGGTTGTTGCCTGCTTTCTCCCTTAGGGTTTTGATGGTTTCCTGTCTCACATTTAGGTCTTTCATCTATTTTGAGTTTATTTTTTGTGAATGGTGTAAGAAAGTCGTCTAGTTTCATTCTTCTGCATGTTGCTGTCCAGTTCTCCCAGAACCATTTGTTAAAGAGACTGTCTTTTTTCATTGGATACTCTTTCCTGCATTGTCAAAGATTAGTTGGCCACACATTTGTGGGCCCAGTTCTGGGTTCTCTATTCTATTTCATTGGTCTATGTGTCTGTTTTTGTGCCAATACCAGACTGTCCTGATAATTAACAGCTTTGTAGTAGAGGCTAAAGTCTGGGATTGTGATGCCTCCCGCTTTGATTTTCTTCTTCAATATTATTTTGGCTAATTGGGGTCTTCTGTGGTTCCATACAAATTTTAGGATTGCTTCTTTGAGCTTTAAGAAGAATTTTGATTGGGATTGCATTGAATGTGTAGATTGCTTTGGGTAGTATTGACATTTTAATAATATTTATTCTTCCTTTCCATGAGATTGGAATGTTTTTCCATTTCTTTGTATTTCTTCAATTTCCTTCATAAGCTTTCTATAGTTTTCAGCATACAGATCTTTTGCATCTTTAGTTAGGTTTATTCATAGGTATTTTATCAT